GATTGATTTCTTCTCAGCCATAACAAACAAACGAACTTATTTGAACAAAACGACAGAACCAGACCAAACCACCCGAACCAAACAAAACAGATGAATCAAACGGTTGGAACCAAACCGAATTAGGTGTTTTCTGAAACTAGAAAGCCCAAGTGCTACCACGACAACCAGAGGGGCGAGGGCGACGGGTGGCGACTGGCGGTGACGAAAGCACACGGCGATGCGACGGCGATTGGCGGTGAGACGAAACCTACGAACAGCAATCGGAAAACAGTTGGCAAATTAGCAAGCGGCGGCGGCGGTGGTCGACGGCGGCGGCGGTGAGTTGTGTTGGATAGCAATGAAAAAAACCCTGAGGGACAAAACCCTAATGGGCACAAAACCCTAATGGGCATCAAAACCCTAATGGGCACAAAAATTTTAGAAGAAACCTAGAGCTCTGATACCATGTAAAGACTAAGGTTGGAGAGAATCCAATGTGATGTATTCTCATTATTAAAGTCTATATATATAGACAAATATACAAGGTTGACCTAATATCTATACTCTAACATGCTTAAAGGAAGAAAAATCGGTGGACCATATTTTTCTTCATTGCCCCTTTGCCACTCGAGCATGGAACTTCGTGGCATCTCTATTAGATTTCAACTTTTGTCCCCCAAGGAAGATAGATGACTTTATAACAGAAGGATTTGGAGGCTCGATGCTAAAGGGGATAGTTTACGTCCTTTGGAATTGCGCGGCGAGGGGTCTTCTTTGGTTACTCTGGAGAGGGAGGAATAGTAGATTTCTCGAGGACAAATCAGCTCTGTTAGACTCTTTTTGTGTGAATGTAAAGCATACAACTTCTTGGTGGGCATCAATCCATAAGAAGACCTCTTTTAACTACAACTTTTTTTTTTTAATTTTACGGAAGTGGAAGTCTACGATTGTATAGCTTCTTTGGAGAGGGTTCCTTTTACCCTCCACCTTTAGGTTGTCCATGCCTTTTTGGGCTTCTTTTGATTTGGAATACATTTTCACTTTTTCTTATAAAGAAAAGACAGCGACGGGCATAAATGTGGGTCACAGCTACGGGCGACGAGCAGATGCAGATATGCTTCACGGCGGTGACAAGTGTGGTTGGTGGACTTGCACCTGCTTCCTGGAAACGACGAGACGTGTGTCACGGCTACAGGTTTGTGGGCGATGGTCAGCAATGAAGATTCGAGAGGGGAGAGGAGAAAACGAGAAGACAAAGATGAAAGAAGAAGACAGTCTCGTGAGTTTGAAATTGAAACAAAATGTTGAAACCCTAAGAATAAGATAAGATGGAGAGGAAATGAAGGGTTGAGATTAAAAATAAATGGATGACTAAGATTGAAAGTAGTTATATAATTAAAAAATATATATATATCAATAATTTCGGCTCAGTTCGGGTTGACCGATTTGTTTTTAAGTGAACCCATGAATCGAATCGTTCGGTTCACAAAATTTGCAACCCAACTCAAATCGAGCCTTTATCTAACCTAATCAACCCTTACGGTTTGGTTGGGTTTCTTCGGGTTGTCGGTTTTTTTGAACACCCCTAACCACTATTTCTCCTAAAGAGATGGAAAACTTCCAATGAAGGTGAAATTCGTGTATCGACATGACCCTATCCTTGTACCTCTAATCGAAAGAGCAAGAGAAGGACTTGTTTTCAATTTTTACTATCAGCCAATGGAAAGCCATGGCCAATGAAAAGATTAAACATACCCCCGGATGGACCGCAAAAAGAACAAGGTGCGGGTGCGCATGGAGTCAACACCATACCTCGAAGGGGGGAGGGAGGACACAGGAGAACATTTTTTTTAGGCTTGGGATTGTATGGCTTACTCAACACTTGCTTTGGTGGATCTTCTTCTGAGGAATGGTCTCTACACTTGGTCAAGCATGAGATATTGCAACTCACTCCCTACTTGATTGATTCTTGGTTACTGGGGGTTTGATGATCAAATTTAGTGATGCTATTTTGAGGATAGAATTTTTCTTTTGGGGGAAGGAGTTATGTAACATTTCCTGCAGCAACATACTTGATGTGAGCCGTTTTTAGTGATGCTATTTTGAATATATTATTTCTACTTTCTACAGCAATATACTTAATGCCTGGCATTTTAGCTGGTTTCCCTTTTGCCGTCCACGTCAACCATTCTTGATTTTTAATTTTTTTTATAAAAAATATGAGACATTATATAGAAGTTTGGCGTATTTTCCTAAAAATTGACCTTTGGCTTTCCTTATATTCCATCTGTTGCTTTCCCCTTAGTTTTTGTTGTAGTTGGTAATTGGTTTCTTAATGTTGCAGCAAGGAGGAAGCTGGGATGAAAACTGCAAAACTAAGAGACGAAAAGGAGGTTTTAGATAGGCAACAACATGCTGATATTGAAGCTCAGAAGAATTTGGAAGAGAACTGTCAACAATTACGTAACAGGGTGAAAGAACTGGATTCACAAGAGGAGCAGATACGAACAAGACTGAGGAAGATTCTTGATAGTTCAGTTAGACATAAGGACGATCTTGCAGATCTGAAAAAGGATTTGCATACCATAAAAGATCAGCATCGAGATGTCAGGTTAAGTATTTTAGTTATAGCTTTCATACTGTTGATGAAGTCTGTAAAGGTACTTTCTGGACACTGGTTATATAGGTTGTTCTTTGTTGCATATTTCAGTTAGCATAATCTACTTAAATGTCGAGCAACAACAACAAAAAAATCTTACATTAATATATTAGGCATCATTTTGTTAAGTTGAAGGAAGTGGTTTTGATTATTTTGGCTTGTCGTTTTTTCAAGATATTAGGCGTTTCGTTCTTTAATATTTTATTCTCTTATATTTTTTTGGAGATTTGTTCTTTATTTAGCTGTTTAATCTTTTTTCGCTCCCTTTCGGAGTTTGTATCTCGGAACATTTTTCTTCATTTTCATCCATCAATGAAAAATTTGTATCTCGTTAAAAAAAAATCTGATGTTATATTTGATTCTTAAACTTGATCCAGGAATAAATATGAAAACCTAAAGTCAAAAATTGGAGAAATTGAAAACCAACTGCGGGAACTGAAGGCTGATAGATATGAAAATGAAAGAGATGCTAAATTATCTCAAGCTGTTGAAACTTTGAAACGGCTGTTTCAAGGAGTTCATGGTCGCATGACTGATCTTTGTCGTCCGACACAGAAGAAGTACAACCTGGCTGTTACTGTTGCAATGGGTAAATTTATGGATGCAGTGGTTGTTGAGGATGAACATACAGGAAAAGAATGTATTAAGGTACACATTTCGGCCCCTCCCCTCTTTTTTGCTCCTAGTGTAAACATACTTAACCTTTTATTTGTCTTGATTATTAAGCTTCTCGTTGCTGAGCATTTCTTTTTAAATATTTTTCCATGTGTGCTAGCTACTCTACATGCTTATTTTATCTGATGATCATTGCACCATCTTGATGATGTAAAGAGGTGGAGAGTAATGGTGCCCTCCACTCGCTCATGCTTCCTCACTTCTCTCACTGTTGTTACCCCTTTTCTTTCCCCGCTCTATTGTAGTTTGTTGGAGTTTATGAGGTTTCCTTGTAGCTTCTTCGTCCCTTGCTCTTTATCATGTGTGCTGTTCCTTGTTGATTTTTGCCACATTGAATATAAACATTCAAGACTGTGTTACATAGTGAGGCCAATGACAGTCAAGTTGTTTTGACAAAATCTGTAAGTGTACAAATCGTTTGCCATGTCCATTGAGCTTTCCTTAGTCCAATGGTTGAGTGCAGTGTTAAAAAGCCCAACGGAGGCCTAAGGAGTGATCTTTAGTGAAAGGAAGAAAAAGGTGAAAAGGTGAAAAGCTGGGTCTGCCTTTTGAGCATTCTAATGATCATCAGTTCAGTTATTGGTTTAACATTTCTAATGTTGAACTGAGCCAAATTGATGTATTTATATATATAAATTTATTTTACATTTCTACTTCCAATAGAAAATAGGTCATGTTATCATCCGAAGCCCATTCCACTCCTTTAATATTTTACAAAGGGTTTCATTTTCTTCAACCTTTAGAAATTAGCCTTCAGCTTTATGCGGCAAGGTGTTTCTTGTCACCTTATTCTTCTTTTCTCTCTTCTTGGCATCTTCCTTCTTCCAACCTTGCCACCAATGCCACCATGTCTGGCTGCCTCCTTGCCCTGCCCGTGTTGCCATCTCTTGTATTGTAGGCCATAGTGGGCTGCTTTATAATTCCATTAGTTACATCTTTGAGAAGAACCTAGTGGAAGTCGTGGTGGGGGAAGGAGTTAACAATAGTAGTAGTTGTGGAAGTCTTGACCTTCCCCAGGATAAATGCTTTTGTTCGTCTCACTTATTTTAATATATTTAGCTAGTTTGCTGTTAGTGTGACTATTTCAAAATGATTTTAGGGATCAATTTGAAATTAATTTCGATGTCTAGAGGTTAAAACGTTGCTTTTTGAAACTTAAAATGTTGTTTTTTGAAACTTAGGGGCCATGTGAAATCTTAACTCAAACCTCGAGAACAAAAATTATAATTTTCCTAAAAAGTTTGATTAAATAAAATGAAACATACTAGCTCCCAAGGGGCAGCCCAGTTGACAAGGGCTTGTGGTCTCTTGGTTGTACTGGCTTAGAGGTCTTAGGTTCGAATCTTCTGGTGAACTTAATACCAAAAACCCTTGATGTCTCCCGGATCCGGACCTTGGGACGGGTGCGGAGTGCCCCTGGGTATAGGGGAGCAAAGCTCCGAATCCT